GGGTACAATAACTCCCGTTCTCCAGTCTGCTGGTGTCTTTCCCGCAGTCACCGCAGTTTGACAGACACGTCTTAGCCAGCACATGCGTTGTTCGCCTAATGCCTTGAGCAACTCAGGGCGGATTTCGTCAATTCCGGCAGCTTTTCCATTTTTCAAGCTTTTCACAACTTGTGCAATTTCATCTACAGAGATAGCAATATCCGTACCCTTCTGCTCTACATGCGAGTCTTCCTGCTGTTGCGCGGGGTTAAGGAGTTCCTCAAAGTACTCCCTCCATCGCCGAAGAATGTCATCATCGTTAGTAAGAGTGTGTCCAGATCTATCCTTCAAGACTTTGAGACTTTCCTTCTTTTTCCTCGGAGCCGGCGGATGGTCTGCCAGAATATTTTGTTTGCGGTGTGGAAGTTCGACTCCAACTCCTCACCGATATTCTTCCAGGAATCAGCTTTGGCTTTTGCCACTGCTTTGGCGGCTGCCTTTCGTGCCTTGACATATCGCACGCGAGTATAAGGCTCCTTATTTCCAGGCCATTTCTTGAACGCTGCTTTCTTCTCTTTAACTGCCAGTTGTACCTCTCGTGTCCACCATGAAAAGCTTTTCTGACCTCCAGGTGGCAGGCCAACCTGTTTATATCCGCAGCATTCGGCGGCAGCCTCGAGTATGCCGCTCTGGAAGAGCTGCCACTCGGTTTCAACTTCATTTGTCATCACCGGGATCTGTTCAAACGTTCGTGCGATGTTGTTTGCAAATTTCGCTCTCTTGTTCACGGAAGATAATGTTTCCCATTTGATTCTCTGGTTGCTTCTGCCACCAGATCTTCGTATGGTACTCCATTTCTTACTGTTTAGCGTGCCAACAACCAGTGATGATCGCTTGATAGCGCTGCGCCTCTCTTAACGCGAACATCCATTACTGAGCGTCTTAGGTCAGACGATTCGATTATCAAATCGATCATCTACTTCTGTGCATAAGCTTCTCGGTACTTGGTGTACCGGACTCTGTATTCGGCACTTCGACAGGGCACATTGCACTTGCTCAAGAAAGGTGTCATAATCTCTCCAAGTTGGGCACATACACCTGTATGAAGGTCATCGCTTTAGCCTGTTATTGGTTCAGTCGGAGGTTTGCTACCCTTCCGCTGACAGGCTTGCAGTTAATAATTCTATTGGCGAGGTTGGGTTCTACCAGAACACCGACACCGGCCTGAGCGCGAATCGTGATATCGTCGCCTGAGTTGAATAGCTTCTATTGGTTGAGGTTCAGGAGTCCCGATCCTGGTCGTTTCGTTGACGAGATTCCAGCAACGTCGAGTTGGTACTTTATGGCCTCATCAGCTAATTCTTGTTCTTTTCCTCTGAGTGATTATATATTCCAAGTTCCGAGTGTTAGCTCCCACTGGCTGTGTCCTTCTCGTGGAGCCTTTCCTGGCGAGCTATGATGGCATCGCGTTGTCTGCCTCCTCCGTTCAGAATGGGTAGCGACTCCGTTGCTGACTGGTATCGTCGTTGACGTTCCGTTCTGTCGGTCTTCGTCAGCCGTCGTTGTGCTGCCCC